ATAGTTCATAAATTCTTACACTCTGCAGTTCAAAATATCTTAAGATGGTATACATCTGATGAACAAAAATTTTCACAATATCATGTATATCCATTTTATCCTACTTTAACATAAACATACGCATACATAAACAATTAAAATTCAAGTTACAATACTATAAGAATAAGATGTTTGGTACACTATAAATATTTTATATATTTTTAGTCTCCTTAATTGAATTATTGTATTAATTAGTTACTGAGTAATTACTGTATTAATACATTATGTTTATATAATCAAAGAGGTTCAAAATTATTGCAATTGATAAATCCAGCTATTCATGTCATAGATATATGTTTTATCTTAGTTTCATTAAAATTTTATATTAAACTTATAACTAAAAGTCACTAATGCTTATTATCTGAGATAAATAAAATAACTAATAACTAAGATCAATGAAACTGAGTATGTTCTATTATTCATAATATATACATTTAATACAAAAACTGATTTTCTGATTTTCTGAAATAGTACATGATTCTGTATCATATTCTTTTTACAGCAAGCATCTTGCATTAAATTTTATTCACGGTTAAAACTATGCTTCATTTAAAATTATGTAATCTACGGAATAAAAATCGAATATTATTATGATATTAAAAACTACATATTTTTTTATTCACGTTTTGAGTGTTTACATCTATACCTTTATATAGGCTTCTATATTTAACTATATTATTTTGTAAACTCAACAATATAAAATATTTTTTATGTATAATATACAATGCAAATCACGTAATTCCATGTATTTTAACAAGTATGTAATATATAGAACAAAAAGAAATTATACAAAAAGCTACAATATTTATTGTTTCTCAACAATAAAAAAACAGGAAAAAAGCTTATAACTTATGTATAATTAATTCACAGTAATATTTACTTTCCATAAATCAAACTACATGTTTTAACTTTCTATTTCAATATTTTTATTATGTATTAATAATGGTTTAGATATTTTACTTCTAGGATGTACTTTCCATTCATGTCTTATTAAGGCTCTTCCAGTAGAATAAGTTTTTTTACAAACATGGCAAGGAAATCCAAGTCCATAATGATAGGCTCTGTGTTTGGACTTCATCATATCATAACACTTATAGTTACAAAGAGAACAAGCAGTTACCTGATGTTCTTTATAATAATGTATTTTTCGAAATGTAGCATTTGAAAATCGGCTAGTACATAGAAAACATTGATATGGTAGTTCAGAACCCAAATGCTTGACCGTCATGTGTTCATCAAATTGTTTATACGTGTACACAGTCTCTTTACAGTAACAGCAAGTTATTTCCATTGGTATATCAGTAAACTTTCTTCCCTTACTAATAGAACATTCATGTTCATTCCATGCAATGACATTAGCAAAGCTAACTTTACAGTACCCACATGTTAAATTTGAACTTGTATCATGTTTGGTAATGTGAACCTGAAGAGCTTTTCTAGTATAAAATGTACGACCACATACACAATTATTGCGTTTTTGAATAGAATTTAATTTATTCAGATTAAACTGGTACCGGTTCCTTAGTTTCTGCTGCAAAACCTCGGAATTAACATTCTCCCCAAACGATTTGTCATTCTGGTCTACCTTTATTTCTTCTTTCTTAATTTCTTTGTGCAAGTCATTTATTTTACTTGTTGAACTGGTAATATCATTATTGGAAGAATTAGTTTGTGAATCCTCTTCTATATCAATATCAATATCTTCATCAGTAGACTGAATTTTTAAAATGCTGTAGTTTTCACTGTATTCAGAAGATTCTAGATCTTCATATGGATGATTTTGTGATTTTATTTGTGTATAATCCTTAGAAGTATGTGATAATGTGTAAGCATCTTTTGAAAGACTGGTATCCTCAAATTTAGTTTCATTTTTATTATCTTTATCAATAATTTCATAAGAATTGTTCTTTTTCTTTATGGTTATGCTAATCCCAATTCCAGAATCTCTATCATAACAATTTTTTTTAACATCATATTCACTTGCACTATCTGTACTTGAGTCTTTTTCTTCATCAGTTAAAATCCTGCATTGCTTTTTATGCATAAACAATGTATGAGGATTACGAAATGACCTTCCACAAGAACAGATAGTTTCTTGTTGACCATTATATCCTGCATGTGATGCCTGATTATTTTGCAGAATTATCCTTTCTATTTCTTTGTCCTCAGATAAATTTGAATCATCTTTATCTCCAGGTTTTAAATTAATTCTATTTTTAACGAATGTATTGCTGATATTGAGTGTATGCTGGAATAATGGGGAATTAATATATTTACAACTAAATAAATGAAAATTCTCTTTTGTTTCTCCTCGTGAACGATGGGTTTGTATATGTCTCCTGTAACTTCGTAGTGTGTAAATTCCAAAACAAATTTCACATTGGTGTCTGTTATTTCCCACAGGATTTCCCGTTTTCCCCTTATTATTACTATTAAGTTTACATCTTTTACTAGAATTTACATATGACATATTTGATTTTCGTTTATTTTTCTTCTGAAAATGTAAGGAACCCTTCTCTTGGGTAGTTGGATTTTTCTTTAAGGCTTTACTATTAGAGAGCAATGTTTTTGACTCCTTACTTCCTGATGGGGTAGATGTGTCGTTTAAGTTCTTCAACATAAAATCAGGAGATTCAATTTTATGATAATCAATTAAGTGTTTTCTCAAATTTTTTACAGACTGTTTACACAATACACACATTAATGAAACTAACTCATGCTGTGAAGGAACTGATTTTTCATTTTGTTTTAATTCTTTGTTTAATACTTTTCTTTCTCGCCCCTTTTTTACAGTTTCACTTATTTGGTCACTGTTACGTCTTAAAATATTTCTCTTTCTTCTTTGCATATAGCTATTTGATATACTTATATTACACTTTATTACTGATGTTGGTGAAGATTGTAATGAAGCACTTGCTTGCTGTTTACTTTCACCCTTTTTCAAATAAACCTTCTCAGAATTGTCCTTTTCTTTCACAACATTATTGGGCTCTTTCTCTTTCTCAATATCTTTCTTGGTTAAAATAACATTCCTATTTCGTTTTGGTGGTACAAGAATACCATGTGCCCTTTCTAAATGATATCTTAAGTGGTTATTTCTAGTATACCGCTTCTCACATGTTGAACAACAAAATAACTTCTTTTTAGTTTTCACAGAAAATTTAAAATTTGGTAGCGCAGAGTTATTATTACCTAATACTGGATTGTATTCAACATATAGTGATTTTGATGTTGTTTCTGATGGTAATTCAGTAGATGTATCAGTTTTTCCTCTACATTGTGTATTTTTTATTACTTGTAATGTCTCCCATATTTTGTCACACTTTTCAAGTACAATAATAGGATCCTTCACTTTATATGGTGTAGTAAAAGGTATTGGTGATACCATTTCACCCTATAATTTAAATAATAACATATAT